TTTTACGCACACAAACTATTTTCAGCATTTTTATAAGACGTATTTCTGCTCATTTGCACAATTATAATGGTTAAAAAATCACTTAACTGTTTGATTTCAAAATTCACACAATACCATATATATATATGGTTATATTACTCAACTTGAAGTTTAAGGTAATCGTGAACGATAGACTGTGCTTGATGTTGGAAGAAACACACTCTTTTTTCGTAATTTCTAGTTTCTATTCTTTTCTCTGTTCTATTTTTATCCGTTATGGCGATATCATGATGCTATTATGGAAAATAAATGACGAAATGTCAGTCCGATCAGTTGCAACAACAAACGTGATGGTATCGACAGTCAAATACACCAGAACGTGAAAATGGCAGTAATATGAGAAAACACTCCAGCAATCAATCAGATCAGTTATCTAATGGATGGGGAAGCATTTCTGGAGAACTTTCCACATCACAAGCGACTTCCAAGAAGGGAAAAGAAGTAATGGACCATAACGATAATGTTCAAGCAGCGCGCTTTGTTGCATACTTTTGAAGAAACGAAGACGAAACAAGGGAAGTAGGCAAGGGAGAATAACACGCATGGCATGAAGAAAACGGAAGAAAAAAATGCAAAAACAGTTCGAAACTAAAAAGAAGAATGCTGTGTCGTCGTACACTCAGGATATCAGAAGTCCGAGAAGAAAATAGAGGATGAACGGAAAAAACCGCATCTAGAATTATTGTAGAAAACAATGGAGAAACAGATGAGGTTGTGAAAAGCTTCGTGAAGAATTGAGCGAGTACTCTGAAAGTGTACCGTAACTACGAACTAACAGGATAATTACTTCGAACTACACGCTCGAAGTACTCATTCTAGGAATCAAGGTTCCGCAAAGGAAGTGCTGAAGGCGGTTTCTTGACCGTTTTGGGAGGATGCTGAGAGAGGGATGGCCCTTGTTTCGTTCCCTGGTTCTGGTTTCTGTTTGTTTCATGCATGGACCTGTTGGGCTGTAAGCTCAATATCAGATACCCAAAGGTAGCGGTTTCCACCGACCAAGGAATGCATGTAACGAACCATTTATTATTTGTGGCTAATCTCAAGCTCCTTGCTGCCGACGAGGATATCATGAAAGCTATGGTTAAAGAAGTTCAAAGGTTCTTTGAAATAGTAGGGTTAGAAGAGCATCCAGCAAAGCCAGCCTCTAATACTGAAATATTCTATGATAAAGCGGGACTGAAATTCGTCATGAAAGGAGTTAAAGCTAAAAGGCTAAAATAAGTTGGAATAATGCAATACAGGACTATAGTACGTACCCGAGAAAGGTATAATAAAATTTAGTGATATTTTAGTGAGAAGATAGTAACTAGTCAAAACTGCTCTAAACGGCAAAAACTTTATCAAGAGTAAACGAGCACGCCATAAACTATTTACTGGAATGCTCAACCTAGAACCAGAGAATTTTCAAGCGACTGACCATGATATTAGGCAGTTACTAAATAGGTACAGAATTCATAATCAACCTGCATGTTTACAGAAACTGTGCCTTCCAAGGGACGAGATATGACGTGGGCTTCACGACGTTGAACAAATAAGTGAGCTTATGCTTTTGCAACTTTAAGATACTAGTAGAAACCGTCCCCACATCCATCAGGAGGGCAGCGATTCTAAAGTGGAAAAAAGAAAGGCTCCCAACACGTACTTAACAGTTATTGTGCCCTACCTTCAACTGAATACAACCTCGTAATAAATCCCAATCGTCGTAAACGTATTAGCAGTCAGAAAGCGTTCTTGTATAGCGAAACAGTTATGGAAAACTATACAAGATGCACAGATATGAGCTAGCCTCAATGTCAGATTCATCAATATGGCTACGATTCGGAAATATTATTCCACAGGATGAAGCGCAACCTCTAAGACAGAAATATGTTTGGAGCTGATAAAAGTATGTCCGATCGACTCAATAAGACGCTCGAAAGCATGCTGTGATTCGATCACGCCGTGAATTCATTGAGGACGAAGCAACGGAGACCAGCAGAGAAACTGAGCGCACGGCGAGGCAACGAGATTTCCAGAATACGATACAGCGCCAGAATCAATAATGAAGAAAAAAAGAATAACCTCTGTGTGATATTGATATTTGTTTAATTGATTAATTAATTAATTTGTTTATCTATATATGTATACACTTGTAAATTTATCAAATTCAAAATATGAAAGTATAGAGAAATGGATGTTTTGTCTTTGTCTTTGATTTGTTACGCAAGCGCAACGTAGTCGATGACTTGTTCAGGAAACCAACGCGCTAAACCACTCACATAAAAATAAATTGTTCCTGAGTATGCAAATGTGTAGCGCTCTAAGAAATTGAATTTTCCCAAAGAATGGTTAAAAATGGATAAGTATTATGTTGAAAAACAACTTTCCGCCATACTATTATCTCTAGTAATGTTATTAAGTTCTGGTTGTGTGCCAGCAGAATTATAGTTTATATTAGCAATGACATAGCTGAAAAGTATTATTCAGCAGAAGTACTGACTGTGAAGTAGTAGTTGCTGCTGATAGTAATAACAGTAGCTGTTGTAATAATAATAAAAATTGCGTGTGGAAATTTTTAGTCGGATTTTTTAAGGTATAAAACGCGAAAAAAAATGATTGAACTCATTTTGCGCAAATTTTTTGCCGAATGGTATAAAGTGAAAATAAAATCGATCTAATATGGTATTTACTAGACAAGTCCCTAGAAAGGAAAAAAGCTAGCGTTCAGCATATGGAGTCTAGCTTGCTCCTTTAGCTTGCATGTCGTCTTTCTTTGCATGAAGCCTAGTTGATCCGTCTTTTCTCCTTGGAGATTGGAATTTGCGAAGGCAAAAATAAGCCTAGCTAGCCATTACCGCCTCCACACTACAGCTTATGATGGAAAGTAGATGCAAGAGCAGAAAGCTGAAAAATAGGAAGAGATGGAGATTCTAGTTTAGATTGTTCTTTCTAGTACGTAAAAAGCGCAGACTTGTATCCAAATACATACATACGCACACGCACACGCACATGCACACACACAAACATGCACACACATATGCACACATACATGCACAAGCAAACTCACATTCATTCAATATAATCATAAGAAATTAGCACATACTACCCCGCTTACTCCCGATAATACTAGTATTATTTTATTTTGTAGTATATCAAACAAAATATTAATTCTCATAACATCATTGAGCTGTTTCTTTTAGTTCTGTCGACTCTCAACAAATAATAATACTTACTAATATTTGCCACAATAAAGATTTTGCAGTAGTATGTTTTTTATTTGTGAATCCAAGATGATTATGTTTTTTTGTGGCAAAAAATGACAATAAAATGAATTGTGTTAGCTATGCATTGGGATATGTTATACTTTTGATATATATTATTTCAGCGTTCAGGAACCTAATATATAATCAACTTCATGTTACTGTCAGTTGCGATTACATTTCGATAATTTTCTACTTCTTAAATATTACGATTTTTTCTACAATATTAGTTTTCTAAATAATTTTTGCTTTATTCACATTTATTATGTCTGTACTGATGGAGTGTTTGTCAATGCATTATGCCGTTAGCATACACAGCTAGCGGTTCTGATGCGGTATTATATCCGCAACATTCCGATATTCCGTTAATATCGGTACCAAATCCATCTAGTTCTTCTCAAGATAATACTACTACTATTTATACTAAAAATCAAAACTCAGCTGTTTATTCTAGTCAATATTATCAGCAATCAATACCATTATCACAACAACAGCAACAGTACTCACAAAAAATTTTACAATATCAACCTCCATATCCAACCACAGCACAGGCCAGATCAAATCCCAGTATATCGGATGCTTTATTGCTGGCATTACGCCGTCGACCAACTGCACGTTTATTTCGTGCCTTATTTCAATATATTCCTATACGCGACTCACCGAATGAGAATCCGCATTTGGAATTACCACTTCAGGTATTTTAATATTACTTCAATTCCCAAGAATTAAGTTAAAGCGCATTTCAATTCAATCCACTCACTGTATCAGATAAGCTGTAAAGTTACACTCTTTAATGTGTTCTATTCTTTTGTCATATTTTCTAATGACATTATCGTTGGAAAAAAATTGTGTTGTAGCAAAGGTTTTTGCTGAATTTCATTTTACCATTTTATTTTAGGCATTCGTACTTACTAACTTGCATTTTTCTGCTCTGTATCTTACAAGGACTACGGTATTATGAATATTAATTGCTTATTTAAGCATATCTATGTTTTGATTTAAAGTATATGAATTATATATGGACTCTAATTGAGTCTAAACTAAGTGCTTAGTAAACGTTTGCAAATATTTTCGCTCATCTTACAATAAATTCCATTCAATGCTGTCTTTTTATTTTCATTTGATCTCTTTTCGTTGAGGCTTTGGTGCGTTATTTCTGCATATATTTATGAAAATTGCATAAAAAATATTAACTAATCATTTTTTAATAATCTTTGGTCTCAATTAATTAATTTTTCAAAATTTTTTTTTTGATACAAAAATTTTTAAATCAACAAAAATGAATTAAACATTAACTAACACATTGTACATCACAAAGTTCAGTCATCAAACAAAAAATTCTTTCAAAAAAGGATGCAAAAAATATATCCTTGCGTAGAGTTAAGGAATGAATCTTAAAAGTACACGAGTGATGCCATGCTGAAATGCAAGGCAAAAAGAGCTGCAGTAGAATATTGACTATGAAAATTCTTCAATAATTTTCATTTTCTTGGGTTGAGTGTCATTTTTGTCGCCTCGTAAAACAATACATTTTATAAATTTGCAAAATGTCTTATTTTCTTATCACTTTTTTTGTATTTGTTTCAATTTGAATTTATTACCAATTATCACTACTAGCTAATATTAGTTTTTGGTATTTGAACTTTTGCTTTTAGCCTTACTTAATTAGTAAAAAGCTAAAATTAAGTATTAGTTTTAACTTTAATCAGTTTTTTCACTTCTGATGCTTAATTTAGCATTGCTATTTGTAAATCAATGGTAATCTGATCATAGACAATAAGTTTGCTATCTTTCTGCTTTTATACAAATTTATTGGAAGCATTTTTTCAATTTTTTTTAATGCTTAATCGTATTTAATTTCTTTTCATCGTACATTACTTCTGTTTGCTCTTTCATTCATTTTGTATCTCATTCATTTCTTTTTTCGCTCCAAAAAAGATTAAGAAGTATTTTTAGCGCTATTGTAATTGAAAAATAATTAAAAATGTAATATTCATTTGGATCAAATTTTTTGACAAATTGATTGTGTTTAAACTTCTGAAAATAAGACAAAAAGTTTTGAAATTAGACGTTTTTTTTGAATTCAAATAATTGACTATAGCCATTTTTTTTTCTCTATAAATCAACAATGTACTAAAAATATTTACTTCAAAT